TTCTTCCTCTCTTCATGTATCTATAGACAGGTGACACATCAGGTTAATATTAGGTGCAGAATTAGGTCCTTAAACAATGAGTTGTAAAAGCAAACAAATAAAAAGTAAAATAAACAAAATAAAAGACCAGGCAAAACAAAATTATAAGGGAAAACAAAATGCTCATAGCCCTCATGAACTTACCAGTACAACTTCCCCTACAGTAGAAGGATAATTCAGTCCCCTGCACAGCTGACAAGAGCTGCCTCAAAAGCAGTCAGTAACTATTTTTTTTTTATTCCTGGAAGTACTTCATAATATAATATTTTACTTCTGTGAAACAAAGTCAAGAGCACTCTTACACACAACAAGAACAGAACAAAAATCATTTCCCTTTCTCTATAATTTCAGAAGGCTTCTCTAAGCTCTTAACAGACCTGAAAAACACAGAGCAGCACAACCATTATTCAACAGCCATCCTTTTGTATTGCTAAAGGCACCTGTTTACCAAATGCTAATTGAAGTTAATGAGACATCAGTTAGGAGAAGAGGCATTTTCACCTTTTCAGATCAAAATCCCCAATAGTTGTAGCTTGTCCAATTACCCTGCTCTAGCTAGAGAAGAAGCTGCCTGTCTGTTCCAAGTTACTTCTGCCTTGCTGACCATTTTGATTCGTGGTACAGAGTTTGCAGCTTGCAGTTGTTGACTTGTCTGTTGTAGTTACAGAATTATCTCTGTACAGTTTCTCTAGTAAATTCTTCCTGGTTAGTATTTTACTAGCAAATAAACTTATTTTTGAAGTAGCACACAATTTTACTAAAATATTATGTTAAATCATAAGTAATTTTTCTAATTAAAATGTTTTTTTAGTGAGGATTATTCCTCTTTGTAGGCAAGTCTTTCTATTCTTTTTAACCATGAAAAGAAGTCCTTAACAGTGTGTATGGTCTCATAAATATTCTTATATTCCTTCTCATATATTTAGCAGTGTTCTTGTTGCCTACACTTCATTTGTTTGCACTTTATCAAAACTGCAGTGGAAGCTGGCCTGCTGCTATGATCCATGCCCTTCCTGGATTCTCTTTCCAGTCTGATAAAACATTAAATAATATTAAAAAAAGAAGAGGAAACAAACAGAGAGTTTTGTTTTATGAAGCCACCCAAATGTTAAATTTTCAGCTTTCACAAATAAAAAGACATCCAGTTCTAGAATAAATACAAATTAGCTCACTATTATAAAGATAATTTAACTGTAAGTGAATAATGTTGATAACATGGGTGCCTAATTTGCAATAATTTACTCATTGAAGAACTGTAAGCCAGACAATTTGCATTAGAATGGTAAAGTACTTTAATTCAATTATGGAATTACTATTGGGTGATTAAAGACTGAGAACAAATAACAAATAAGTCTGAGTTCATTTTATTTATCTACTAGCTGCTGACTACATGACTTAGCAAGACTGGCAGCTTAATTAAATTTGTCCCTGTGGGAATTTATCTGGTATTGATAAAGTAAATATGTACAGGAATTCACCAAAGAATGACCTTGTCTTTCTAGGAATGGTTTGGGATTGGGAAGCAAGACCTTGTATAAGGTCCCTTTTTCAAAACCATTGGGACAAAAATCTTTCATGAACTTCAGGTTATAAAACGAAGAGGAAATAGTCCCACACTCTCGCTTGGGACTTTTATAAATAAATTCACAGAAAACTGGATGAAACACAGAAGAAAATAAAAATTGGACCATAAATCTGTGCCTGGCTTCTCACTCAACATGGGATTACATAGAAAGAGTGAATGCCTTACTTGTGTGCAAGGTTTTAGATCAAAGTGAAAAGTCTTTGCTGTCTGTTTGGAACCTGGCTTAGTCAAGTATGTACTTAGTGAGGCTGCAGGTTCCTCTTCTGGCAAAAGAGGATTTCCCTGCAGTTAGATATCCAGCATCATGAACAAGCAACTCCTGCTCCTTTAGGCTCTTCCTGGGTCCTAAATATTCCTTGGCTATGCTCACTCTTGGAGAAATGAAAGCTGGAAATTGGTATATTCTACAGATAGGCCAAATTGTAAAAAATCACTTTATCCTCTTATTTGTCCCTTTGGCACTCCAAGGTGATTATTAATGAAAGTCAAAATTCTGCAAAGTGTTATTAAATCTGCTTAATGGGCAGCAATTTGCATTGAATGTGCATGTGTGGTGTGAACACTCCTACAAATCCTCCAACACCACCAAGTTATTGTTCGAGTCTTGGATTACAGTTGTGCTTTTTGGCTTGCTGAAGACCACTTGGGAATGGCTGGGAAGCTGGAGTGTTTTGATCACTAATTATAACTCTGCTATAATTGCATTACTGGGCTATTGACTTCTCCCTCACCCCATCTCTTTAACTGAGTCTGTCATTACAGACCTGATAGATTTTTTAACAGACTTTTGGGGCATTTGGCTTTCTATAAATGCTCTGCACAGCACAAGCTATGATGGGCCTGACTCCTCTAGCCACACAACAGACCAAAAAATAAAAAACACAGAGTTTTTAATAACAATAATCATTAGCATACAGTTGTGTCCCAAGGGTAAAACGTGGGCCAATGTATATGTGCATTCAAACCTGGAATTCACAGTATTTTTCATTAAAAGATGTTGGCAATTTAAATATTTCTGGTCATTTGCTCTTTTTGTACCAATCACATTTCTAATTTCTCCCGGGCTCTTCCAAGAAAATGATTTAACACACAGTGCAGATCTTCCATGTAAAAAGGACCAGAATTTTTTAATTATAGTAGTTTCAAAGGATCTAATAGCAATAAGGTTCCCATAAAGGTTCAGAATCTAACAAGCTTCATAGCACTTTGCAAGGAGTAGCAATCATTCAGCAGAAATGTTAGAATGCCCTTTATTCCCTTTCTCTATTTCCCAGCAAGCATCCCAGGAGAATCATGAGTTTTAAATTTGCTCAGGCATGAAGGGATTGTGCTCCCCTTGAGCCTTTGTATTATGATAATGCATACATAAAGGTAAGTTTTATTAATTGGAGATCTATCCACAGGGGTTACTGCAACAAAGGAGGCAGGGGAAAGGGAACAGAATGGAAGAAGGAATGATCCTACTCTGCAATGATTCCAAGATCCAAAATTCAATCCTGATACACTCCCCTTTGAGCCTGCACCTCTTTACTCGTGCACTGATTTAATGTGAACTGTTCCAGGCAGCAGTAACTTTTTACAACTCACTCCAATTTATTGTCTTTTTAAAAAAATCAATACTCCAAACTCACCTTTGTACTTATCTTAAGAATTGCTCCTAGGCAAGATTGGAATTCATTATTGTAGCCTTTGCATAAGAGAACTGTGAGTTCATACTCTGTGCCTTCCTAACAGCTCTCTCTGCCTTCTTAACACCAGGAGCACAGATGTGATAGATTTCTCAGTATTTTCCTCATTGCTGTCAAATTACACTATATTTCACTCTTATTTGTGTCTTGTATCTGTGACTCCTCTCAGTCTTGCTTTCTTCTTATTTCTTTCCACATTTTAATAGCTGAGGGATGTACCAGGAAGTTTTCATGGTGCCAGATTCCTTCTCCCATCCACAAACACGAGTGACCTGTTGCAGATGTTTTCCCCCATCCCCAAAGACTGAGCTGTAGAGGTGAGCTTTGCATTTTGGGAAACAAAAGGCTACATGACAAATGCCCTTTTGCTTTCATAACAGCTATCAGGCTTTAGAGGGAAGGAAGAAAATAAAATATGGTGTCAAAGCTGCTCCATCACTCACCCACTCCAAGAGCCATCAAACTTGTGCTGTGAAGACAATCTGTGAGCTCTGATTTGTTAGGAGGAATGCCATTGTGAAAATGCTCCATATTCACCAGAGTAAGTTAAAAAGGCACCTGCATCCAGCAGATTGACCTAATTATGCTATCACAGATTTGTAGTGGGTTCAAGTGAGACACCCAGAGAGTCCCTCAGGGCAGAGGCCAGTCCAAAGACAATAAATACTGCAAAGAGCCCTGTCATGTATCAGTGCACTTGAAGAGGGGAGCAGGAAACAGCTGCCATAGGTTGGGGACATACAAATAAACCTTCAGACAAATTTAGACAAGTTAGAGATGTTCTTTAGGTAGAAGGAAAAAAATGCACATTAAGGGAAAATAAGTATGTTTTTAAATTTTTAATAACTGAAATCAGTGTTATGCTAAGAAATCACATCAATAACAAAATTCCTTCTAAACCAAGACTATGTGTCTCAAATTTTAGTTTGGCATGAAAAGCTAAAGTGTTGCATTCAGGCAAAGCTGAAAGAAAATTTATTGCCAGTTTTAGCCACCAAACATAAAGAATCCCCATTATTTGCTTGGATCTTCTGTTGCCCTACAGAAGTCAAGATATCAAATATTCTACAAAGATCTCTGGACTTCATTTCATATAATTTCAATGGAACAGCAAATAGTATGATGAATAAAACCAAATGCTTTAAAGTGTCTGCAGCTTTTTGGATTGTTGCTTGTGTCTCTGATGCTTAAGCAGAGCCTTTGTACAGTTCAAAATTAAGACACTTAAGGGGATTTTTCCTCTGTTTTCTTCTGGAGACTCATTCTCTTTTGAGCTAAAGGGCACAAGCAGAGTGTAGCTAAAATAAACTTTGTAGAATCTTATAGCTGACAGCTGTGGTTTTAAAGATGAGGTTTGACAGGCATTGGGAAAGACGTACAGTGACTTCAGGAAATTCAAAGGAGGCATGAAATGGGCCTCACTCTTCCATGCTGCTCTGTGTCTGGCCCATATGTTCTGGGTATTCCCAGAGCTGGCTCTGAGCAGAGAATGCCCTGAGCAGCCAGCAATGTTTGTGCATCAAGCTACAAAAAAAGGGAACTGGGCACTTTACAGATCCCTGTTTGCAGGAATTGAGCAGGCTTGGTCCCCTCCCTCCATTATGTTCTCAGGGCATTCTGTGCCTTGGAAATAAACTCCATCTTGTACAGCATATGAGGGCTGATAAATAAATCTGACAGCAGCAAGCAGAGCTTGAATCAGGGATGTCTGTCTCATTCCACTATCAGCCTGGCAAAGATGTTGTTTTTCATATTATACTCACACATATTTTGTCTCAATGGCATCTGGGCATCCTGGTGTCCTGGACATTCACCTGGTCACAAAGCAAAGTCTTAGTATTTAACCTCGTGTCTCCATTTAGCATCACCCTACCAATCCAGCTGGAATAGAATTACTCACAAGTTTTCATTGAGCCCTCCCACACCTGCCACATATCAGATAAAGAATAATTTATTAACAAAGGCTGATATCCCCTCAGGTAGCTCCAACCCTGCTGGCCCTACAAGTTACCTCAGTGCTCCAGCAGAAAACAATAAGCAACATCCTATTTCCTAACCTGACAAGTAAGGGCAAATTGACTTAGAAAGTTTAATTACTTCTTTAAAAAAGTACTTATGCATTGGTTACCTTGGCAACACATTCTCATTAGGTGGCTCAGAAATGGCAGTACTGAAGAAACAGCCCATCTTTGTAACTGCTAGTCCCACAATAATATATTATTATTAACTGTAAATGCTTTTTTCCTGTTTAGAACTACAAATGCAACAGCCAGGAATTGCTTTTGCATGTAGTCCTACAGAAATTTGTGTGTTTATAGTCCTGTGAGCTTCTACTGAGGTGCTGGGAAAGAACAAATTCTGTTTGTGTAGCATATGACAAAAATGATGGGTGGGTTTGGAGAATTGGGAACAGCTCACCATTGTACAAAGTTTGATTACTCAGAAAAATATTCAGATGAATGCCCTGGTCTTAGTCTTTTCTTAAAGCTCACTTAACACTGTGCAGGGAGTGCCAATGCTTTAGGGAGGGAAGCAGTAAAGCAAAGGAATCAGTGAACAGGGAGCCTGGAGCACAGCAAGTTGTTGCCAAAGGGGAAGGCAAGGTCCAATCTTCTGCTGTCATGAGTGTGGAATCCTCACTTGCTTCTCCAAGTTTTCCCCTTCTCTGGCTTTTCATATTCCTTCACTCCTTTTCTCTCAGGATTAAAGCTTAAGGTAAAAAATGTATCCTGGAATAATCATATTGGAAAACACTGACAAAGTGATGCACTGCCTAAACATAAGCATTTCCTTCTTGTTTAAATATTTTATCATTTAATTATTGATACAATTTTTTAGAGTAGAAAAACCCTACAGTTCTTCTTCCATCATCTCAGTTCTGCCCTTCAACAAACTTGATAGGTATACATGAAGCATAGATCAATTCTCAATTTTCTCTTTCCTACTCTGCTTTCCTTTTCATGCCCCCTCCCAGTCCCCCAGTACCCAGCTGGTATATTTTTTCTGGCTTAAATTTGGTCTTAATTCATGTTACCTAACCCTTGCTTACTCCAGAACATCTAATTTTGAGGAAATTTTCTAGGTGATAAAAACCAAGGTGGGCAATGAGTTCTTTAATAGCATCTGTGCTACTTTTTCTTAGAACAATTGCAAAAGAAAACCAAGAATAGATCTGAGCTGCAAAAACCAAAACAGAGGTTCTCTCAGTAAGTCTATATTCTGCAAAACAGTTTCAGAAGAAAAGAAATACTTATGTTAAGTGAAATAAAATATATTCTTAGCCTTTTAAATTATGTATTTTTACATGGTATAATAGAGAAACAGAAAATTTTCTTCTTTATTCCTGACAAGATAAAAAGATACAAACTAACCCAAGTTTAATATTACAGTCCTCTCTTTCAACTACTGTTTCCCAAAATGATATTTTGCTGTTAAAAATTCATCTGGTAACGCTGATGCCTTGCTCTTATCAAACAACACATTGGGATTTAACACAGATGAAAGATTTTCCCTTGCTGTTATCCCTGGATATTTGTATTGTAATAACCAAATTAAAGGAACGTATGTATAATGAATATATGGCACAAGCTTCCCCCCAGCCTCCAAAATTGCAAAACACAGCATCTTATGAGGTGTTTTTTTTTTTAGCTTCTACATTTTTATTCCAAAGTCTTGAAATTCACAAACTATATGCATTTTCCCCACTTTAGCATTGACATACACCAGGAAAATACAGTAGGACAAGGTTAAGGAGTAGTTTTCCACAAGCCCCGATAACTTGAGCCTGTCTGATGGCATAAACAAAGTGATGAGTGGATTGAAATTTCTAGAACCCAGCATGCAGTTCCTGCAGCACAGAGAAGCTATTCCAGTGCATTTTATGCTTGGCTTCTACCAACTGCTGCACCTCACAAAGGGGCTGCAGTCTCTGATGCCCTGAATCAGCACCTCCACTTGCACCAGAGGGGAAAGATGCTCTCAGTATTTCTGTGTTGTTAACATTCAGCTACAATGAGCTGCGTAAAGAAAGATTGATGCATCAGCTACATTTTGGGCTGATTTGCAAGGAATAAATCATCTCTTATCAGCTGGACCAGTGCCAGTAGACCACAACAAAGCACAGAACCACCTACCCATGACTCCTCAGCAGCTTTCCATCAACCAACACCTATTTAAACTCTCTAAGTTATTCATGTAGGGTTTGATAATTGTTGTCTCTCCAGGAGAAAGAGCAGGTGCCAGAAATGGTGTGGTGTTGTCACACTGCTCCTCACTTCTGTTGTTCACTTGGGCTGACCAGTGCTAGATCACAGTGACATATGGACCATGCCTGACATTTATCTCCTGGAAATCAATAGGGATGGTATTAAGAACCTATCCAGAACAGCATAAGAACGTGCAGAGCAACTCAGGAGATGGAAAGAATAAAAGGAAAATAAGTGGGGGTTACAGCTGGGTATCAGAGCTGGGCCACCCAGAGGTCAAGCAGGTCCCTTGCCCAAAGGAGCCCACAAGTGAAAATTTACAAGCAGAGTTCAAACACAATGAGGTAAGCAGTGGAACTGTGAGATGGGAATTTCAACAGAAACCTGTCAGGGCCCTGTTTCTTTCCAGTTGTTAATGCCTCAAGGTGCAGAAATAATTGAGAAATTTTATGTCATATTGTTTAAATATAAAATCTGGATAGTTCATATCAATTTGTAAAATTACAGAGAAGAAGAGGAAAGCAATATTTGGTTTAAGATTGAAGAGCTGGAAGAAAAGAAACCCCTAAATTTTATTGTATTGATTTTTCTCATTGAGATCATCAAGATTCTTTATCTTTTTCTAAAGGAAATATAAGCACTACTTGCAGCTGAGTACTGGGGTTTGGAAAGGACAAGTTTTGCTTTGGTTCTGTCAATATATTTCTGAAAATCTCCAAGAATGCATGCCTGCAGGTGAGGATTTTGCAAGAAAACAAACATTTTCACACGTCTTTCAGAAGCTGACATGGGAATGCTAATGGTAAGAATTCATTCCAGGTTTAAAGTTATCCCCCATATAAATGGGACTGAAATATTCTCCACTATCATTTTGGAAGTAAAAGAAATCCTAACAGTGTATACAACAGCAACATGAGATTTCCTGTGGAAGGCATTACTCTCCTATTTGTCATCCAGCATTCAGAAGAAACCTCTTTGGGTTTTGCTTTATATGAAGTGTAGGAAAGAGCTTGTCATAGTAGCACAGTGTGGAAAACACAAATGGATATCGGATTGTTCCTTTAATGCAAAGGATGAACAGATAGTCGTGCAATATTTATCACTGAAGGGCAGAGGAAGCAATCAATAATGGTTTCCCACGTGGGCCATTTTTCTCATCACTTTACAGAACAAATCCAGGTCTCTGAATATGTGAAGCACCCCTGCAGTCAAGACCATTGTTAAGACTCATCTGTTTCTACTGCTCTGATTTGTAGTCTGAACTCTTGCACTGGTTTCTGTTTTGCCCAGCAGATATCAATTACCCTGAAGCAGAGCCATGTACAGGCTTCTGAATTTCACCAGTAAAAAGTCTTATGTAGAAAAAGATATCAATGCTCAATGGCTTGGGTTAAAAAAGAGAAAACCAAACATGAACAAATGAAAAATCCCACCTAAACCCTGACTTGCATGTTGGGAATAGTCAGTCTTTCTTACCTACATTAATCTCCTTACCCCCTACTTCTCATTCTTTCCCTACTCTCCTTCCTCCTCAAATCCAGGTAGATTTATTGCTGGTGCTAACAAAATCACTAGCTTCAGCTAATTATTCCAAATATAAAACAGGTGGAAGGAAGATCTAGGAAAGGAGATGAAAACACCTAAACAAGAACAATAAGAAATAATTATCCTTCATGTTTATTTAATCACAGGGATCCTTAAAGAACCAGAATTGATTTTTATGGGTTTCATAGCATGCACTGTACTTAAAAAAAAACATAATAAAGATATTATCACATAATTTGAATTTAAGTCTTAATTATAAGTCATTAAGAAAAATGCCATCCAGGAGCAGTTCATTATTTGACAGCTACAGGAAAGGAGAGATAAATCCAGGCTGCCTGCAGTTCAACAGTTGCTCTCACCCTCAGAATGTGTATCAAACCAGACCCCTGGGTTTCAGAGTTTAGCAAAATCTCTAGCTTTTCTTAACTCATGAAAAATAACATTTGGCAAAATGTCATAAGTTTGCTTTATACTGCTGTTTTGAGGATTGCAACAATAAAGATATCTTCTTGAAGTGTCAATTTAATTAATTTCACAGTTCTTTTCATACCTTCCCATATTGCCAGCAGCCTTTGTACTTGAGCAAACACTGAACTCCTAGAATGGAAAAAATGTTAATTTTTCTAGTTTTTAAAGAAGCAAGCAAGCAAACTTTCATTTCAAATGCTTAAAAGAAAGACTGGCATTATTTTTCACTCACACATATGAGCCTAATCTAGTTTGATCACAGCTTTAGAAATTTTCAGGTTTGAACAATACATCTCACACCTTGACTCAAAAAGGATCTTCTTATCAGCATTTTCTTTTGTTTGCAAGGTCAAGGTGAGGACAAAGCCTGTCTCCCTGAACCTGCTTTCCTTTCCTGTGATTAAAAGCAACACTACACAGCAAGAAAGTGGAAAAGAGCAGATACCCAGCCTCTCATCATTACACAGCCCTTTCACGAGGCAGGCAATGACCAGCAGTCACCCCCTCCAAAGTGACCACCCTGAGCTTTGATTCTGCTGCTCCAGAGCCCATGGGACTCCAGACCCACCCAGTCACTCCTGAGCAAACCTTTTTGCTCCTTACTGCACCTCCAACACACCATGGAAAAAACCCAGCCTGCAATCTTATAACTGGAATTCTCTTTAGCGCGGTGAAATGAAATAATTATTTATTTATTCCCTGGCAGTGTAGGTGGATAATTAGCACATAATTCAAGGTTTCCTAGGCATGACAGACTGCTCTGATAACTGTCCCTAGTCCTGATTAAATCTCTGCATAGGATCTCCCAGCAGCACCTCAGATGAGAAAATTCCAGGCTCTGTCAGTATCAGGTTGCTGTCTTGAGCTTTGAAACCATCATGAACGCATGGGGAGAGGGAAGAATTTTGAGAAGAATTTTATTTTATTTTATGAAGGTTTCTGTGACTAAAGTCTTAATGACTTTGGCTTGGCATCCAAAGAACCTGTAAGAACACAGATCTGACTGCAGGGGAACCAAAGGGATATTACACCTGAGACCTTAAAATAGTATTGGGAACAGAGACATGCATAGGCTTCGGAAAGGAAAACAAATTTATCTGAATGCTAGAAAAGTGAATTTTGTGCATGTAGTGTATTAAGGCTGCTCTAGCCCACCCTCCACAGAGAATACAAAGGAGCTGCTATGATGAGCCCAGTCTGTGTCCACATTTTGTGCCTCCTGCACTGCAGAGCCCAGCTTCCCAAGTGTCCTGGACTGAGCAGAGGCCATTGTCTGGCTCTGTGGTGCCAGCTCTGCCTGCAGGGATGGACAGGATGGGCAGGATCCTCCAGTTTTCCCAGCGAGTAGCTCAGAGCATCCCTGAGCCTCCTCATGGACACCACAGGGTGTTGGTCCCAGCCAGCACTCATTAATGCTGACCCTTTTTCCCTCCGAGCTCTGAGGCAGCTGGGAGCTCCTGCTCTCCTGGCCCTCTTCCATAAGTGTCCCATGGGATCTGTGCCAGGCCTCCATCCCTGCAGGAGCGACCGTCAGGGAGGACAGCTGCAGCGCACCAAGCTCCCCTCCCAGGGACACCACAGGGACACCACAGGGACACAGGGACACCACAGGGACACAGGGACACCACAAGGACACCACAGGGACCCCACAGGGACACCAGAGGGACACAGGGACACCACAGGGACCCCACAGGGACACCACAGGGACACCACAGGGACACCACAGGGACACCACAGGGACCCCACAGGGACACCACAGGGACCCCACAGGGACACCACAGGGACACCACAGGGACACCACAGGGATACCACAGGGACCCCACAGGGACACCACAGGGACAGTGGCTGTGTCCCAGCTAAGGACGGCTCCCAGGCCGAACAAGGCCCCTCCATACAAAGGAGAAGGCCTCGGCAGCCGCTTGCTTGAGGCCTGGGCACTGAGGGCTCGTGCTGTGGGGTTCCAGCCGTGCCCCAAAGCTTGGGGTACAGCCCTGTGTGCCTGCCTGTCCCCTCACCTCAGGGCAGAGAGATGGCAGCTGTACCTGGGGTTAATGAAGTGACACTTCTGCAGATGGTGGCAGTGCCGGTTTCTGCCCGCGGCACCCAGATTTGTTCATTCTTCGTGAGATCGGCAGCTTTTCTACACGGTGCTGGGAAAGGTCACGGCTCTCAGGAGTCTGCAGGCTGCACTGCTGTCCCCTTCATCCCTGAGTCACTAAATGCCACTTAGCTGAGCAGCCTCAGGCCACAAATTAAAACCAGTGGGATAAAATGGACCAGCATCTCAGATGCAAGGAGTGGGGTTCTGTGCAGATATTTATTTAAGGCTGTTCTGCTCCCATAAAATACCTGAGTCCTTACTGATTTTTCCTCCACACTGCTGCTCCTCTCTTTCTCCCATTTTCTTACTGATGGTGCTCTGTGTGAGAGCACAGGAATAAATGGTGGTAGAGCCTAACCCAGGGGCTGCCTGTGTCCCCAGATTTCTGTGGCTCACCAAGTCAAAGTCCCAGCCCTGTGAGCCCTTCTGAGTCCCAGGTAATGAGCATTCATGGGGAGAGAGAATCTGGCCCCTGTTTCATGCTCAAAACAAGCAAGAAAAGCAGTGTCTAGCCACTGCTCATGCCATTAGGCTCCAGGGGAGATTATTACTAATTTTTTTTTTAATTCATAATCTCTTCAGAGTGTATTTGGACATGTCCAGAAGTGGTAGCAGAAGGCAGTTGTGTTATTTATCTGAAATCTCCCAGGTCTCATACACAGCCCTTTCCTGAGCATCTTCACAGCACAGGAGATACAAGACAGCTGTTCTCACCTTTTCTGTGTCCTGGTCTTGCTTATACTGGGGGCAAAGAGCTTCCCTTGGGTACCACCAAGGGACAGAAGAATTCTGGCAAGTACATTGCCTAAATCCCTCCATGGATATAGATTTGATAAAGGCACCCTTGACAAAGACTGACTTCTGGAGGCCAGCCCAATACCTCAATCACTAGATGTTGAATATGTCACCACAAACTCCCATCCCAAAATATTACCTCTCTACATCTTAATAAACACACTTTTTTTATTTCCTTGGACTGACCCCTTATTACATTTCAGGGGCTAGCTTGCAGAGGACAGGTTCATTTGCCAATACATGAATCATTATTGCTTTGAGCCTCTGAGCTAGGATTTTTATGTGCATATTTCAAAATGTATTTGATAGCTGTTAGAAATCATTTCAGTTCACACTCGACAACCAGGCCAACCTGAGCCAATATGGTCTGCCTGGAACTGTGAAAGGATATTGTGAGAATTTAATTATTAACTGCAAGTTACTGTGCATATGGCAGATTTTAAAAGTAGTGGGTTTGTTTTTTAGTTCTTTTGCCTCTAAGATAAAACCACCCAGTTGTTGAACTCCAGCTTATAAAGATTTCTATCTAGTATTTCTGATAAAATTGTTTCAGATTGTACATCCTACAGAGAACAGCATGCTGCCTTTTCCTATCCATGAGCTGCTTGCAGGCCATAAATGTCATCCAAGCCAAAGTGAGTCCTCTTTGCTCTTCTGTAAGCCTGAGTGGAATGTTTGAGATTAGATTTACTTCATTGCCTTCATGCAAGAAAGCTTTTGAAAAAAACATTTGTTTTATGTGATAAGGTACAACAAAACATTGCTAGAACAGAACTTCTTAGTTCTGACAGCAAGAGATTCACCTTGGGGAATGAAGTGAGAGAGGGAGGGATGTAGAGGTGTAGACTGTAAAAACATATTTAAAATAGTTTTTACTTGTCATCTCCTTTTCCACTATTATGATGGTGTTGATGCTCTTCTACTGTTTGCCCTCTGTGCGCTGTAAGAGCTCTGTGATATATGTCACACTGATATTTACACACCAAGTAAGTCAGAACCTTATCTTGAATCAGAATTTATCAGCACATTAACAAGAGGAGGAGTAGTTTTTAGTGTGTTATTTATTTTAGAGTGTTTAGAGTATTAATATATAGATGATATGTATATATGGCACATTAAATCCACAGGTTTTCATGAAGTCCTCAGGCCTGGCACAAATTAACTGATTAGGAGCCTCATTTTTCTAAGCAGCCAGCATTTTTCTACTTAAGCTGAATTTTCAGAGGGTGTATCAAAGAATAGTTCTGTGAGATGTGATGCTGTGTGCATTTGCCTCAGACTAAATTTATCATCCATGCATTTATCAATGCATTTCAAATGAAAAGAAAGAAAGACAACCTAAAGGTCCACTATTTTGACTTGTGGTCAGGCAAAGAGCTTCAAAATTTACTTCAAAAACCATTAGAATTTTAAGGTCTTGAATAGCTTTAATAGTTACAAAGAGTCATAAAGAGAGAGAAAGCCTTATGTCACCCTGGCCTGACAGCTGGCAAAAAGGGCCTTGGATTCAGACTTAAGAAAGATGATTTGGCTCCAGGATCAAAAAATGAAGCAGGCCCCTAAGAGATGAAAAGTGTCGTGACTTTTTTCCCAATAAGGCTGAACACAACACAAATCCCTCACAGTGGGCCTCTCAGGAGCCCACTGAAGCTTTGAACTTCATTTCTTTTCAGAAAAAGAAGGCACAATGCAGTATCCTGGGCCTCAGTATTATGATAGCTTGAGACTGTGAGGAAAAAAACACAGCTTGGACATGCTAGGATGTATTTTGAGTATTTTAAACAAAAACTCCAACAGGGTTATCATTCCAAATGTACCTTTCTAAAGAAAAAGGAAAAACATTTTCAAAATATCTGTGCCACTTTAATGAACCTACACTCTGCTCTCAAGAGTGACTCAAAACGATTTATACCACTAAAAAGAGAAAAAGTGGAGCAAAAGTTATTTAGGTTCAGATTCACAAAAATATTTAACTACTTAATTGTGGTGAGTCGGACCTCAACTGATCTGCTTGACTTGCATTTGCACCCTTGATGCAGATTATAAACTCATAACTCTCCCTTTGGTCAGCAAGACCAGAACATCCAGAATCTGCCTAGCCTTGACCTCTTTTGCAGGGTGAGAGTGGCCAGGCCAGCATCTCACACAGAATCATCCCAAGCAGCCCCAACATCTTACTAATTGCCTTTTTAATATAAAACAAGCAGCTTTGCAATGAAAATAGCAGTTTCTCCAGTTTAAACACATCACTTTGGTGTTTAATTTCCTACTTTTTGATGATAGGTGGCACTAGCTTCTCCTCAGAATGCCAATGTTTGAAGCACACGAAAAATTTCAATAGGTTTTGGCAAATGTTTCACTGCTAGCACACACCGCTGCACTGACCTGTGTGTTTTGGATCTCTGTCAACAGATTAGGCAGATTTCGCTGTAATAAACTGCAAAAGCAAAAAAATCTTTCCTGAATCCCGATTTAAATCCCTTTATTAAAGCTCAATGCATGCAAAGAACCCAGGGCCTTATCACCAGGTGAATTGCTGTGTGTCAGTTGATGATTTCCAGGTTGGACAGTGCAGCTCAGTCTTTGTTTAACTCACACTTTTCTAGTTCAAGGGAATCCTGATGTGCCTTGTCTCTCTCTTCCCATCCCATTACTGTAACTCTGAGTTCCTCAAGAATTTTTTTTTGCCAGCTGGGCCCACCCAAAGAGTCATCTTACAGCCTGCATTGTCAGCAAGACAGAAGCTGTTAGAAAGCTCTGCTTGGCCTTTTAAAAATAAATAATGGTCTACAATGGACACATGGTCCAATGAATGTCACATTTTGCTGGTCACAGCCTTACATCTAAGTTCTGTAAATGACAGAATTTTGTTAGTTAGAAGGCTGTTGTTTTTCCAGTGCAGATCATCTACATCAGTAACACACCTGAAAGAAGGTTGACAGAAAAAGACTAATCCTAAAAGGAAAATTGTTCCTACAATGGTTAAGCAGGAAGAGTGGGCTAATGATAAGAAGAACAAAGTCCAGAAAAACCTTGCATTAAATTTTCAAGGTTTTGTTTCTTGGGATTACAGTTAGTTTTAAACACTGATATAAATTCTTGGATTAATTCACAAGTAAGGAATGTTTCATAAATTCTAGTATAAAGAAAGGGGGTTTCACCTGTTTGTTTGCTTTTGCCTCAACATTACAGACAGGAAAATACCCCTGTCCTTGTTTCCTTGCTTTAAATTGCAGATGAGTCAGGATGCAAAGGCAAGGCTAAGCAGTAAAGGTGCTCAGCTCCATTACAGTAACAACAAACAGCCAAAACAAAACAAAAATATGGCTGAGCCATTATAGGCTGAAAAATCATTATCACTCCACTCAGTGCTCAGTTACAGGCATGTATTAATGATTCACAGTCAATTCATGAAGATTTATTGAGCAAAAGGGTGGCTACATCCACAGAATACATTCTACACAGTGAAAAATCTGATGCTTAGGCTAACTTCCTCAGTATAAATGTTGTCAGGTGCAGAACTGCTGACAAAATATTTATACAAACCTAATTTTGCCGTATATTATTCACAAAACATTCATTCTAGCAAGCATATGGTACCTTAAAGGTGATGTTTCTCCTTCCAAGGGATGTTGGCTTGATTACAACAGGAAGTTTGGTCTAGAGAATGCCTTGGCTGGAAACAGAGCAGTGTTTCTACACAGACTCCTCAGCATGAAGTTACAAAGAAATGGAAAGAATGCAAAGGCTGAATGGAGCTAAATTTGCCAGGGCTGTATCAGGCCATTCCTTCTGGGGCTAGTGGCTGAAGACTACAGGCAACCCTACCTCCTCTGGGAAAATCGAGGAATCAATGGTTGCTCTTCCACTTAGGCAGTCACTGTCCTTGCAGAAACTGGGAAGGAAAAAAAGCTTGGGCACATTTCTTGTCCAAGTCACTCAACTGTAATCCTGGGTGCTCCACAGCCTCCTGCCAGCAGGAGCAGCAGGGTAGGGAAGGGAAGAGGGAAAGGACTTGGATCCTTTCTCAGATGCTCTATTCTCCTTGATCACAAATTTCAAACTTTGTCATACACACTGGAGAAACAGCCTGGCTGAGATCCAAAATCAATGTTAAAACCAGCAATGTATGTTTTATCCCACTGAGCAGCTCAGGAACCCGATGGGTTCTCACCCTGCTATCACCTAGCACAAGAGATGACACAGAGCATCTGCTTGTGCAGTTACAAAGTTGTTTGCTGGTGACACAAAAAAAAAAAAAAGCATGACAGTTCAGAAATATATTTTAAAACAGGATGACAGAGGTCAAACTAAGAAGGGTGTTAAAAAAGAGTTGGCAGCAGTTATTCACAGCTTTTCACCATAAGAGAACTACAGGGCATCCTATGGAATGAGAGGCTGTAGTACTGACTCACAGCAATTGTGCTATTTATTACAGCAGGGTGTTGTGATATCCAGAGCTCTAAGTGGATTGGATACTTACAGGCCCAGTGTCATTAAATCTAATGGTTGGGTTGGTGTGTGGAGCCTCTGGCTTGGGAAGGCCTTACCCTGAGAATTTAGGGGGAGATAGATGGTGAAAGGGTCATTCTACATTTACCCTGCATCCTATTTCATTCTTCTGAACACCAATTATTGACTGTTTGCAGTGGTGAGATGCTGGGATATGTAGATGACAGTAGTCTGGGCTGTTATCAAACCAGTTTTGGATGTGCACCCTCAGGGCCAAGTCTCTTATTGTGGTGACTACCTTTCAGAACACAATATGTGCAATTTAAATTTTAAAAAGCCCATATGCTTTGCTGTTCTAGTTTTCCTCTGTGTGAACCTTTGAATTTTAATGTGCGTGTCCAAATGTATAATGATAAAACATGCAGCTCATGTCAGCAGTAAATTCATAGTAATTTATTAACTTTTTCAGTGTGAATACAAATTGATTTGATGATGTGCCACATAATGAAAAATTATTTGCAGTCACAACTTGCATTCTAGTTGCTGCATTTTTTTTTTCTTATTAAACATTACAAAGAATTTGAGAACTGCACAACACTTGTTGATGGCCAATAGGAAACACTAATACTATGAAAAGTAATCAATGCTTCTACATGTCTTTGAAGACACTCCTGATTCAGAAATTGTTCTTCAAAGGCAAGTTGCCATATATTGTTTCACTGGGTATTTGTAAGAATTCTTCACCAAAACCCATTGTTTTTATTTAACACAACTCCTGAACTCAATAGCTTTTAGTTACATGTTATTAATGCTTTTGTAATGCAAGTCACTGTATTTTATGAAGCCACTCTGAAATCCATTATAATGTACTGAAGATGTCACTGTAGTTTGGGATTCTTCCCAAAGATAATTTTTGGGAATTAAGTTTACTGTGGTGGCATCTAAGTCTAGAGACATGTGAAGACCTGATCATTCCTTGGGTTCTGTCCAGCCTGTTAGCTAGATCTTCTAATTGGCAATACCTTCTTTTATCTGTGGTATGACCTCTGCCATTGACTTTGATCAGCACTAAGAAGCAGGCAGTCAAAATAGCAGCAGGCAAAAATAGAACATCATTGTTAGAACTGCCTTCAATCAAGTGAATTCTGGTAGTTTCTCTTCCTCCCAAAGCCTCTCATGAAAAAACAAAGGTATTTGTGCCCT